CAATCTTCAATTCGACAGAGTTTCAGCTCTCAAAGTTCCAACCTTTTCAAATGAACCAAGGGAGGCCTATTTATAGGCTCTCTGAACTGTGCCCGTGCACAGATCTGGGTCGGCCACCTATGGGTGGCCGGCACTAGGCCGAGCCACCCATGGGTGGCTCGGCTCTTGGCCGAGCCCCCCTTAGGCATTGGGTTTCGTCGTTTTGCGTTGTATCCGTTTTTCGGTTGACTTAGACTCTGATTTGGCAGTAAATCCGATTCCTGATTAGGCAGTAAATCCACTTCTGAGTTCAGGTCCGAAACTGATCTTGATTCGATCGTGATTCATCTGAGTCTGCCCTTGGTTGGATGACTCGTTGACTCTTCGAACACTTGGCTTGATTCTACACGCGAATGGATGTATTCCGTTGCTTACGTGCGATTCGTCAACCTCGTCGCCTCGTTGGTTCGTCGGTTTGTGCCGAGCTATGCTAAGGGACCTATAAGCAATTTTATATGCCTACAGATACCCCCTCCAAAGTATTTCAGCCTCGTTCTTTTATAGAAGAGTCTGGAATATTTTGGATATGATTGTCCCAACCTTCAGTCGGTGTAACGGGACCTTGGAATGGCTTCTGTTCTTGATTCCTTCAATCCTCCAGGCTATTCGGTGCTTTGTCGAATGTCTGTAAGAGTTCCGGTGCTGCATTTATTGTCTGACCGTTGTCGGAATTTTAAACTTGAAGTCGATTCCTGGTTTTCTAATATTTAGCTGACCATCGATTGTTGGCGTGGTGTCTTTATTTGCGACGCGTTGTCCGGCGTAGTGTTGTTGAGTTATCCTTAAGAATATTTATAAAAATATTCTCCAGGAACTTCTCAACCAAAAAATAGGGGATAGTTTATACTCATATACCTTATTGGAGTATTTTCCGTGCCCAAATGAGCTGAACCAGCTTGATAATGAGCCAAAAAAGGCAGTAATTCGGCTCAAAAAATCTTCTGATTCTTCCAAATATGTGGGAGAGGCAAGCATAAACTAAGGACTGAACCCTCGGTCGATTTGAAGTTGTTTCGATGCTCGATTCAGCTTTAATTTGAATTCTGGTTTAAACCAAGTCTGGTCCGGTTCAACTTGGTCTGGTCCGGTTCAACTAGGCTTGGTTCAACATTATAAAAGCCCCCCTCTCTCCCCTCTTTTTTGATTTCTCTTCCCTCGAGCATCCTTTCTCCCTCAAAACTTCATAGTTGCATTAGATCTAGTCTTCCTTTGGATCTTTGACTGAGAAATCCCTCGAAACTTCCATATTTAGAATTTCTCTCAGGCCCCTCGAGCGCGTGATCCGAGCCTCTTTCAAAATCTGATTTTTATTGGATCCACGAGCTTTTCCTCAGGTAAATCCTCAACCATTTTAGCATATTTTATGC